AAAATTCGGCCCGAAAAAAAAAACGACAGTGGTACCCCTTACGTTTTTTTTTTTTCGGGCGAAAAATTAAGTTTCTCCAATCTTCCCAAAACTCTGGATTCTGATAGAGGGCCATGAGACTTAGACCTGAGTGCAAAAATGGAGGCTCTAGCCCTTCCAGAGCTGAGATATCGAAACTCAAAAATTCGGCCCGAAAAAAAAACGACAGTGGTACCCCTTACGTTTTTTTTTTTTGGCGAAAAATTAAGTTTCTCCAATCTTCCCAAAACTCTGGATTCTGATAGAGGGCCATGAGACTTAGACCTGAGTGCAAAAATGGAGGCTCTAGCCCCTTCCAGAGCTGAGATATCGAAACTCAAAAATTCGGCCCGAAAAAAAAACGACAGTGGTACCCCTTACGTTTTTTTTTTTCGGGCGAAAAATTAAGTTTCTCCAATCTTCCCAAAACTCTGGATTCTGATAGAGGGCCATGAGACTTAGACCTGAGTGCAAAAATGGAGGCTCTAGCCCCTTCCAGAGCTGAGATATCGAAACTCAAAATTCGGCCCGAAAAAAAAACGACAGTGGTACCCCTTACGTTTTTTTTTTTTCGGGCGAAAAATTAAGTTTCTCCAATCTTCCCAAAACTCTGGATTCTGATAGAGGGCCATGAGACTTAGACCTGAGTGCAAAAATGGAGGCTCTAGCCCCTTCCAGAGCTGAGATATCGAAACTCAAAATTTCGACCCGAAAAAAAAAACGAAAGGGTCAAAATTTTGAGTTTCTCTGATCCTCTTAAAACAGAAATGTGGAATATTTATATTGAATACTATGTTATAGTCATTTATTTTGCATTAGATTTATTAGGGGGGTAGAGGAATATATAATTCATTGTGTGCATAATTGTTTACCTGTTTAGGCATTTTTATACAGTGGTAGTGACTGTCTCACTGTTCAGTCTTATACAGTCTCACTGCCAGGATATTCTAATTTAAGCCTATAATAATTATTAATAAAATAATTCTTCTTACCAATAGCTATGATATTGTTTAATTCAATATATTTGTATATAGCTGTAAAAAAGTTATTTATTATGTTACCTGTTGGGTACCACATTTCCTTGTAAATGCAAAACCTTTTTTTATTTTTTTTTACTTTAGCTTACTTATTGATACTGTTATGCGTCAATAAATAAGCTAAACCCACCGCCCAGCTCAACTTTTTGATGTAATAATGCGGCCCTCGAATGAAGCTAATTGAATAGCCCTGATTTATGCCATTATAAATATCTAAATATCTCAGCTTTGGAAGGGGCTAGAGCCTCCATTTTTGCACTCAGGTCTAAGTCCCATGGCCCTCTATCAGAATCCAGAGTTTCAAGAAGATTGGAGAAACTTGTTTTTTAGCAACAACAACAAAAAAAAAAAAAACGACAGGGGTAACACTGTGGTTTTTTTGGGGGGGTCGAAATTTTGAGTTTCTCTGATCTTCTTGAAACTCTGGATTCTGATAGAGGGCCACGGGACTTAGACCTGAGTGCAAAAATGGAGGCTCTAGACCCTTCCAGAGCTGAGATATTGAGATCCCACGTAGCATTTATGCCATTATAAATATAGGCCTACACTGTAATTATTTGTGAACATTTAGCAAAAATGTCTACACCACTTTTTAATGGCAAGGAACACATTGATTAAACATGAAATTTTGAAAGACTGAAATATTATTTTCTTGTAAAATGTACTCCAATAATCTTTGTTTTATTTAAATCGTTTTTTTTGTTTTGTTTTTTTGAGGGCACACATTTCCATATTAAAAATACAGATATGACGATTACAGACTTACTATCAAAACATAGACTCCGAAAAATTCAGCCAGACACTCTCTGATCAAGCTGCTCTTGATTCGGCATCTCCTCAGCAGACGATCCATTATTTCTGCCCTCTTTCTGTTCGTCTTCAATCAGAGTAAATGCAGGCCGGGAGATCGGGGATTCCAGACAGTGGATTCTCAGGGCGCCATTGAGAAGGTGCCAGTCAGCACCTTAGAGAACGCATGGTCTTCTGTTTGGATAATTATCACACCACTTAGGTAAACTAAGACTATCTGTTGTAGTTAAAGTGTGTTTTATGTGTGCGTCTGGAGAAGGAATGACAATTACATGTAGTACATTGCCCTTTTGTAATAAAACGACGAGTAGTTTATTGTTAACTTTTATCTGTGATGCACTGCTGGCTTGTACTCAGATATATGTATAAATCATCTACTCTGTATATTTTGAAAGAAAAGTAGGCTATAGGTTCTATTTTATTTTTTGCCAATTCGTGCAAAATACTTGTCACTTTCTATCAAGTACAATAGGGCAATAGAAGATGCCTTGTTTTCAGCTGAAACATTTATCAGGGGTTTCCAATTCAATGAATGTCCATATAGATTTGAGCTCCAACACACTTACCTGGACGTTTCTAGTGTGTATGTGACTTTGAATTGCTGGTTTCAGGCGTGTTTAATAAGGGTCGGGGCTCAAATCAAATTTGCTGGACGTTGTTCCTCTAGGAGCAGATTTGACAACCCCACATTTAACCAATATCTAACAATTTTTTCTGTTGTCTCATAATCAGCATTCATACAAATACAGATGTTGTTTTTTTTATGTCTTTGGTAAATTTGTTCTCAGGGCCCATTTCCTCAGTGTTTTTCTTAATGAACTAGTTTTCCAGTCAATTAAGCAAAGCTACACATCTGATGTGTAAATGTTTGACCCTGATGTCCATGATTGCCTCCAGAATAGTTAATATGTCCATGCAGCTGTTCTCAGTGTTCCCATTATGTAGTCTTGGCAATGGACAAAGAAAGTGTCCCATAAACTCAGTCTTGAGGTAAACTTATATCTGTCTTAGCTTGTACTTGGGTGGAGATAATCATTAGATAACTGAGTAGAAAGTCAATCTCCATAAAGTTGATGTCACTCATGTTTCATCTGTCACTAGATAAAGATCAAATTGGGTGCAAAGCCAATTATGGGTGTGATACGCACCATAAGAGATTTTTAAGTGAGATTTTTACTATTTCTCTTCATTGTTAAAACACTTTAAATACCTGTTAAAAATGAAAAATGTTTAGTGAAGTATTGTTTACTTTTCTTATCAGCTCACATTGTCAGCATTGCTCTAATAGCCACAGACTGTCAGTTTACTAAAACAGATCTGAGTCAGACTGGTGAGTCTATGTGGCAGAACTGGGTGAAACTTTGTGTTGCTAAATGTACAACATACTGGTATACATCATATACTGGAAAGACACCCACTTACAGGAACCTGATACAACTGATACAATATATACACAACTGCACAACAATATATATATATATATATGTATGTATACACACAGTTTTCTTTTCCAGATTTATGAACTTTGAAGTGCTTTTACTACTGACTTATTTTAAAGTCCCCCTAGTCAATCATGTTATCCCTTAAAACTCACATTTTAACACCGAAATTACATATTTAAATGTTTTTTCCTTGGAAAAAAATCTGTCATGCCTTAAATAGATTGAATGCAACTCTTGAATACACCCTTGCCTCATTTAGTATATGTTGTTCTATGAATATGCAAATTAGCCCCACCTCCACTCACTCGCACAAGCTCAGAGATACACTCGTTTATGATCACACGTTTACGTGATTGGTTACAAGATAGTTTGTGATGACAGAAACAGCAGCGTTTCACCAAGTAGTTTGTGATGACCAAACCACATTTTTGAGACTGCAGTTTTAAGGAGAAAATACTCAGCAATGGTGTTGACTTAAGAATTTGCACATGGCTGTTCTTAAAGCATATTAAAAACACCACATAGATATATAAACAACATTAAAAGCTGGCTTTTCACCATAAGAACATGGAGTTATGTAATAAAATATAATGTCCCTGAATAAGTTACATCCAGATTCACATTCTACAAGAAACCATTACATTTGAAGGATTTTAACAAGCCGCAGAAATACTGCCAAACGAACTGTTCACTACTTTTGAACCCGTTTGCATCAGTGTAACTATTGTTAGACTAGAGAGATTATTATTATTTATCAATATTGACCTGTTCTATTAAATTAGTGTTATAGTATAAGGAAATGACCAACTTGACACTGCAAAGCATCCCACCTTCTGCACAAAAGAAAAACACAAATCACTTTTTTCCATTTATTTTACTCTGAATGATAACACCATTAAAAATGATATATGAAGAGTTCAGATGCAAAAGCCTCTAAATGCCATTTGAAATTTTCTTCTTTAATGATGATTTTTATCAAACTTGTATATTTAAGTTCAGTAATTTCACTTGAATGGCAATGATAATTACCTATTAATTGTTATTTAAGTGAAATTACTGAAGTTAAATATACAAGTTTGATAAAAATCATCATTAAAGAAGAAAATTTCAAATGGCATTTAGAGGCTTTTGCATCTGAACTCTTCATATATATATATATATATATATATATATATATATATATATATATAGGGCTGTGCAAAAGTTAATTGCGATTAATCGCATCCAAAATAAAAGTCTGTGTTTACATAATATATTTGTGTGTGCTGTATATAATTATTTTGTATATATAAATACACACACATGCATGTATATATTTAAGAAAATGTGTTATTCATATATAAAATATTTATATTTATATAATATAGATTATGTATTTATAGATGTATACAGAATTTAAGCGCAAATAATTCTTAAATATATACATGCATGCATAGGTATTTATATATACAAAATAATTATATACAGCGCACACAAATATATTATGTAAACACAGACTTTTATTTTGGATGCGATTAATCGCAATTAACTTTTGCACAGCCCTAATATATATATATACATTTATAATTATATATTTATATATATATATTATATATATATATACTGTAGTGTAGCCCATCATCTGCAGTCTCAAGAAATCCAATGGATCTTCTTTACCAACAAATGAAAAATGTGTCCGTCCTTTTCAGAACACTGACTTCAACAACTGCCCCAAAGTTCATGAAATTGTTATATAATTATTTATACATCCTTACTGGAAATTATATTCAAAAGAAAGAAGTAGGCAAAGTTATCAAGGTCATTTTGTGGCAGAAAATAATTGTTTACTCATATCATCAAGACTGGATCTCCACATAAACATTGAAGAATTCAATCAGGCATAAGAATGAAAATATTCACTAATTATCTTTTAGATTGCAGTTGATAGGTTTGCTGAGAAAGATTGTCCTTTGGTTTGTGTCCAGAGCCTCTTTCAGCCTCGAAAGCCTCCGAAGAACTTTGAAAACACGGAGAAATCATCCTGCATGTCAGAGCGGCCTGAAAGATGCAGTAAATACATTACCGGGTGATTCAAGAATCAAAACTGATCTTGTGAAAGCTTGAGGAATAATAAAGGTCTTTACATACTATATTAACCAGAATGCGTTTTAAATACTCTAAATTCTACAATGTTTATATTATATTTTACTTTTGAGACCACACATGGGGAGAAGTGTTGGCTAGAAATGGCTAACCTGGCATGAGAGGACCAGACTGATCTTGCGGCCCATCTTGGACACCAGAACCCCCTGAGATGGTCACTGTAGTCTCTTCATTACCTTCACCATCTCTGACTGTTCGCCTTTCTTCTACTGTCTACACACACACAAAATCTCTATTATTACTTGTTAGACACCATCTGGACATGTGTGGGATATTTTGAGCCTTGCTGTACATTATTACGATATTTGTAATCAGAAATACTTTTGAGGATCAAATTATACAGGAACACTCACTCCATCTTGTCTGACCACCTTGGTGACGCTGATAGACTTGAAGAATGACCTCGTCTTTGGCTGTATAGGTGCTGGAGTCAAGATCTGATCCAGCCCACCTGAAGACACCTGCGAGTCCAGATCTGAGGGCGGAACCAGAAGACAAAAGGTTTTAAGACATCTTATAGGAGTTGCATCAATGATATCAGCCAAGAAATTAGGGAATCAATGCCTATTCATTCAAAGCTTGAATTGTCAGTAGGGTAACTAAGGATAACATACTTTTTTTTTTTTTTTTTTTCAAGTCAAGTCAGCTTCTTTTTATTTAGCACTTCACAGTAATTCAGCTTTAGTGTTGATTCGGTTCAGTTCAATAACTGTAAAGTTCGTCAATTATGAAATGAGTTCTATTCAGCTATAAGCTGCTCTACACAAAACAAGTCATTATTCAGTTCAATGTAGATAAATTCAGTTCAAAAACAGTGTCAAATAAAGTTGATTGAGCAATAAAGCAGCTCTAGTGTCATCATCCAGCTCAATACAGTTATGTATTCATCCGATAGTGTCAGTAAAGTCAAAATAATCAATAATATTTTTGAATATGAAGTGTCATTTAAACCCCTTTGCGCTTTCTTTATTTCCAGCTCCAGCATGTTAAGTCTTAATTTTCAAACTGCACTGATCTACCATTCTTTTATTTGAAGTAGAGCCCGACCGATAAAGGATTTTAAAGGCCGATACCGATTCAAATATTTGTTGGTTTAAAAATCCGATGTATCGACCGATATTTTTTTTTTTCTTATTATGTCAAAAGTTAGAAGGACAGTCAGTCAACTACACTGCAACAACGTAACTTAACTATTACTAGCTAATTCCGCTTCACTCTCTGCTTATTTAACAACAGCAAAACTGGACATGACAGTCACAAATTTTGTCATGCTTATTTGAGTTAAGAGAACTAATGGAGATGTTCTTTTAATTGTTATTCAAGCAAAGTATGTATCATGACCAACTCAACGAATGTTGCCAACAGGAACGCTGTAGAGTGCCCTCTGGTGGACAAACTATACAACTCCAACACTCATTACATGGTTCAAGCGTGTTTTGTCCATTTTCATTTTATTTTTGAAATATTCATTTATCGGCCATTATAACTGCCGATACCGATAGTTTGGAAAATGCCTAATATCGGCCGATAATATCGGCCTGCCGATATATCGGTCTGGCTCTAATTTGAAGTTTTGCATGTCGAACAATAGATTCAAGAATCAGAACTTATTCATGAAATACAATTTTTTTTATTTCACTTGAATAATTGTGGTGATTTAAAAAAAATCAGAACATTACTGTCTGTACTTGCATTTAAATCATAAAAAAAATGATCATTACCTCCATCCTCTTTTTTCTCGTTCTCCTTCGGTCTTAATAGACTATCTTTCCAAAGATCATGAAACTAAAAATGAAGACAATCAGATGAGAATACACAAGTTTACAAAAACTGAAACGGGTGTCCAAACCTGCTCCCGAATGGCAACTATCCTTCAGGACACTGGCCTGGACGTTTCTAGTAAGCCTAATAAGACTTTGGTCGCATCCGAAATCGCATACATCCCTACTATAAAGTAGGTGAGAAACAGTATGTGACTAAATAAGTTTAAAAAAAAAAAAGCGGGCAAAAAGCACCCAGATGACCTCGTACTTCTGGCAAGAATCTTAAATGTGTAGACATCATGAGTAACACAAAATGAGTAACTACCCAAGAGAGTATGTGATTTCGGACGCAGCGTATGATTATCTGGTTCAGGTGTGTTTAAGCTAAACTCTGCAGGACAGAGCTGGGTTGGACACCCTTGCTCTAAAAGTCCACCGAATCACTCTGATTCACCTTTGAGAAGGGGGTCCACTGGGGAAAGGGGCTGCTGGGGCCTTGTGGAAATGAGGAATCCTTGTCCTTTGGTCCCACAGAGGGGGGAGGGAGGGGTGGATTGTAGGGTGAGCTCTCAGGAGACTTCAACATGAAATCTCTGAACGGGTTACTACTTCCTGTCCCACTCCTGCCTTTCTCGACACCTTCCTGAGGAGGCGGAGCTTCTATTGACGGGACATCTGTTGGGCAGGGGAAGCGGACATATAACATATTTTTAAAATGCATTGCTATCACTATTAGGTTTTTGAATTTTTATTTACAAGCGTTTAAAATGGAAAAGATTAGAGTTACAGTGGGACAGAAGTAACTTTTCTTGCCGAACATCTGTGTATTACATGTATAGAGCTTATTAATTTTGTGATTTATACAGTATATAGGTATCTTCTATCCATTTACTTTCTCATTTGATTATACTGAGATGACTACTTGAAATGTATTCAACCATGATCATCTAATCAGCTTATTAAATCAAAATTAGATCATGCAAGATGTACAGATGCTTAGAAACATACTTCACCACAAAGAAACATAAACTTGAGGAACAAAGCAAACGTACCTCTACGTCCAAAGCCATGGCCCTCATCAAATCGACCTAGACCAGCAAAGATCTCCTCCATGTCCCTGAAGATCTGGCCAAACAGCTGAGGTTCCTCGAAGCGCATCCCGCCGGGCCCAACGCTGAAACCAAATCTGAAGGCGTCGTCAAACGGGTCCCGACGTGGCCTGTTAAAGTCATCGTAGTAACATCCACTGTCATTGTCTTCATCTTCATCATCATCATCATCTTCATGAATCATCCCATCAAAGAAGGGGTCCCTGATTAAAACACATTCAAATTAGCAAACCAATCTGAACTAAACAATGTCACTGTAGTCGTGTATTAATCAGGAACAATAAATACACCAGGGCAACTAGGTGCATATAGAACTAATAATATAAATTTGAAAAACAATGAAACATTTTTCAAAAAACATTAAACACTTATTTAATTAATAAAGAAAGAAAGATGTGTAAACTCAATGTGACAGGTAACATTATATATAGTGCATTAGATACCAGATACAGTATTAATTTCTCCTTTTATAAAAGGATAGTAAAATAATCTGTTTGTGTCATCAATCTGACTGAGGCTGGATTTCTCATTCTTCATTCCTATTTTTCACATTTTATAACAATAAAAAATCTATGATACAATTAAGAAATGTATTCATAGGTGTATTACTAAGTTATAGCACCAGCCCACTGTTATTTATGTCGTGATGTGTCAAAGTAAAACTGAAAGAGTGTGTATTATGTTCCATGGCTTCACGCATTTTAGCAATTTGTCACGGACAGACAAAACAGCACAAACATGTATTACAAAATCATTTATAACTGTGCCGACAAAAGAAAATACTTTAAAATATCACAATAATGTTTTATAAATTTTCATTTGTCTAAAACAGTCAGCAAGCGTTTCTATTGACACAAATTAGCCTACCCTACAGAAACATCCATATAAAAGCAATATGAAGAGTTGAGAAATATTGTGAAGCATGTTACTTTATAGCACTATGCACAATGTCACTGCTTATATCTTATTATTATTAGTTAGTTATAATAACATACGACATAATAGCTGTTAAAAGTCAACTGTCAGGTAGGTTAACATTTCCAGATTAAAAGGTTAGGCAGACTCACCTGCGGCCATCACCACGATAATGACCACCGGGAACCCCGAAAAACCCACGAAACAGATCAAATACGCTCATTTAAGGACAAAGTATCCAGTGATCCTTCACAAATGACACCATAACAAAGTTGCATCAGAGATCCAGGACACCTACGAGATCTTTCCACCGGAAAACAGATTTCAAAATAAAAGTCCGTACATCGCATTAGCCCATGCCTTGTACGTCATTATCGACCAATAAAATAAGCTACTTAATACCCTTTCAAACTTTAAATTAACTAAAAATTACAAGGAATAAATTACTTAAATTAAATATCCAGGAGCATTATAAAGCGTTGAGAAATATGACAAAGTTCATGTCAGCTTTTTATCGCTTACGTCGGTTTACACATTCATGAGGAAATACGTTTATAATGTTTTATGAATCTTCACCAGTAGTTACTTTAATAAATAAAACCCCTGAACTTTATTAAACTTCATTAGCATATAAATGCCTCCACTTCTATCAAGTTTATATGCATAAAATGATGTGTGTAACATTATGAAATGTGAAGCAAATTTATAAACTAGAGACTAACAATGTGCGACAATCTTAATCTTATGTAGGACAGAAAAAAGCTGCTTATTTCAAATGAGACCTAAAACCTCAAATTTCTCTAGAAATATTTGGAATCAAGCAAATAGTTCTCAACAGCAGCTACAATCAAATCACACCTCATCACCAAACTACCATTTTAATCATACCTCTTACAAGACATTGGTTTCATGTATGGCAACAATTTGGCTTTAATATCACAAGATGCATGTTAGAAATTCTCTAAACCTTTTTCTATGCAAAGAATGAACTAAGGAATCTATAAACTTGACATTTTAAAACGTGCTGCATCAACTATACACGTCACATTGAGTTTTTTTTTTTTTTTTTAAATGTAGACTACTTTCCTACATTTCTTGTTTGCAAAGCAACAAATAACTCAACTTTTAGAAACTAGAACACAGAGGCAGACTGCAGTTAAAAGGCACACAAAAAGAGTTTTCTTAAAAAAGACATTCACATCCAAAAATGATGAAAATGTCTTTTTCTTGTTTATTTACTTAATATTTATATATTTTTTTACAAAATAAAAAACATTATGAAACAAACAAAAAATGCTAACAAGTCTGTAAGGATTCGAGAGGGGAGAAAAGAAGCCATCAAACAAACAGACTACAGTACTTGTGTTTTATGTATATAATATATGTATATATGTACAAGACAAGTTTATCCATTTAAATCTTTAAAACGCACAGTACAAAAAAAAAAGTCACTGACAAAGAAAAAAAAAAACCCATAGTACAATTCTGTCCATCAGCACTTTCCTAATAATCATTAATAAAAGAATATATTTGGGGACATAAAGTGGGGCATTTCAGGAGGAGAATGACTGCAGGTATGACAAAAGGACAAAGGCTATGGAAAGACACAGGGTGGCCAAAAAAAAAAAAACGTGACCTCAATCCCAAAATAAATGAGAAACTTCACGCTTATGGCAAAACGCTGAGGTCAAAAATCATGCCTTAACGTAATCCAATCTCCCTGCAACATAAGGTGGTAAAGAGGACCCAAAAAAAAAAAAAAAAAAAAGTTTGCAGAAAATAAGTTTTAAGTTAAGGTGACCAGTGCACTTCTCTTATCTGGAAAGTACAATAAGGCTCCAATAAAAGAAATAAAAGGAATACACATTGAAGCCCATTCTAGAAGTAGAACATTCATATACTGGCCACCCTGATGATGCATTTCATTCATTCACACACACAAAATTAAGCCAAACTCACACACATGCACATACACACGCAGTACAGAACCAAAGCCTGTGAACTCACCTATACATTTTTTTCATATATCTATTTATATTTGGTAAAAAATAAACTTCACAACTGCACTAGCCGATTTAGAGTGATATCTTCCTTTTTTTTCCCAAAATAAAATTTGGTAAAAACTCATTGAAGGGGGAGAAACAGAGGAGGTGCAAGTACATCTGGATCGCAGGTGCTGATCAAGCAAGCAGCGGAAAGGAAGGAAATAACGAACGAGGTGAGGAAAACAAAACAATCCTGCCTTCTCTTCCTCTATCAAACCCCTCTCTTTTTTATTACATCCATCAGTAAAAGGAAAAACAAAAGGGGAAAAAAGAACTAAACATTTGTCCTTTTAGAAAACAGATCTATGTTACATATTCCAGAAAAAAAGGGAGGGGGGAATTCTGGGCTTTTATGCATTTTGAACACAATACAAACTCCAAATACTCAATACTCCGATCATGAAGGCCTAAGTAACTATCCATATATTGGCGATATCACGCTCCCCGTACAGACTTCTCCCCCGTGCCCCCTCCTCAAGCGGCGCCTTACAGTGCTATCTCTCTCTCAGGACAGTGCCACCAGTGGAATGGGGTTGGTACTGCAGGGTGACCGTGCAGAGAGGAGAGGGAGCGCCGCAGAGGACAAAGAAAAGGGGAGAAAAAAACGGTTTCCACTAAACCAGCCTTTGGAACACCAGACGGGGCAGGACGGGGGGGTTAATTGCCTCCCCAGTTGTAGCTGTTGTATCCCGACTTGTTGATCTGCGACTTCTGTTGAATGGAGGCGTTCTGACTGCGCTGCCCAGAGCCACCCTGAACAAAGAAAATTCCAATTTAACAAAATTAAATTTCAAACAGTAAAAATTAGACATGTATATATATATATATATATATATAAATGTATAGACTTCCTACCCATAAGGATTTAAAAATAGACAAACATTACAATAAGGTTTGAATTGGGGTGGGGGAATAACAATTATAGAATATACAATAGCATATTAATATAATATCTTTTGTCATTTAAATGACCTTATTTAAATGCAATTCATTATGAAATCATTCTATTTAACAATTATTATTATTAAATTATAATAGCTATTATTTCTCCCCTTTAAAATCAAGTAGTGCTTATAACTGGAAACATTTCAAATGAAATGTTCCTTATCATAAACACTATTTGACTGGGACATGGGAGAAAAAAAATATATAAAATACATTTTTAAAAACAAAGTACTTCCAAATCAAAGCTTGTCGTGCTCGACTTGAAAGAAGAAAATAATAGGTATAATAAATCTAAAAATACAACTACTAATAGTAATAATTTATTAAACAATTTTTGAAAAGTATTCAAACAACATGAAAAGCTTTGATTTTAGAACTATAAAAACCATTAAAGAACAAAAAAGCATTAAAGAACGTTTTTTATTTCCTGAGCCTGATGGGTAAACAGAAGGCAGCACAGCTCAAGCTCACCTGTCCGTCCTGCTGCAGGTGGTGGTGGAGCATCTGAGAGTGTGGCTGCTGATGGGGGGTCAGGATGTGCATGTAAGGGGCCGGAGCGTAACCCGCTGCAGTCGGAGGGTTGATGGGGCCGCCACTCCCAAGTGCTGAGGGCAAACTGAAGGAAGCGCTGGGGGTTCCTGTGTGGAAACCCTGCTTCTCAAAAGACTGGGGAGGACCGAATGAGACACTTTAGCATTTGTGAAACCACATGCTTGGCAACTCAATTTAGTTTAAGTTAATCAGATTAAAATCGGACATGGGTGCTCACCTGTGTCTTTGTGTAAACAGACCCTGAAATGTCAGGGACTCCCGTGTTGCTTGATGTCACCGAGACTCCTAAAGCAAGTCAAAACACATGAAATGTTTATCACTGAAAACTAGCAAAACATCAGTGGTAGTCCTTGGTTGACTTGGTCATTTCAAAGCAGCTTTAAAGAAAATGCATGCGTTTTGTGAAAAGTGCTATACAAACAAATGTGCACCTGAGAGAGTTAACCAAGTCACTATAATTCTGACTTGCATATGATTGGAGAAACAAGTGTAAAAAAAAAAAAAAAAAGCAAATTCAGCAAATGAGGAATGCAAAAATATGACATTTAAAAGGAATCCCTCAGCTGCTTACAGGTGGACAGTGGTGCGTAAAAACTGCTCATTATCTGTGGAAACATTTTCTGTGATAGATCGGTACCAGTTCAAGGCTAACAGATTGAGGATCAAAACTACAAATAAATAAAAATCAATAAAGATAACATGTTATGCAATGTAATGAGGCACAAATGGTAAACCATCAACAACCATTACTACTAAAAAGCATATACTAGGTTACTTTTGGTACTCCAGTTAACCAAAACAGCATGCGTCTTGCGGCAGAACATTGTAGCCGGAACTACTTCTCATTCAAACATATTTGATTTCCATGAATGATTGACCTGAAGAATGAAAGCGAAGAAAAAATAAAAAATAAATAAAAAATAAAAAGTCAGACAAAATTAAACCTCTGGTCAAATTGTCCAATTAAAATTGCCTAAGAATAAGCCTAAAATGTATAAAGCAAAAATACACCGACCTTTGGCTATGTTATAATGGAGGTTTATGGCGTCCACCTCAAAGAGCATGCACAGAGATTTAATGATTTAATGACTCGCAAATGTAAGTACACATTGATGGCCTAAGACACGAAACGAGCGGTTTGTGTGAGAAAACGAACAGCATTTTTATCGTTTTTACCTCTTGTAACCACAGCCACGTCCAAGTGTGTGCAGGTCTATGTAAGCGCCGGAAGTGATCTCTTGCGCGGTTGCAAAAAAAATAAATAAATAAATAAATTTCCTGTATAAATACGTTTAGATCTTCACAGTGAAGGGCAACACTTCTGAAATCTGTGTAAACAATGAGTGACGTACACGGACGAGATCACTTCCGGGGCTTTACGGTGCTTACGCAGACCGAAGCACCCACGCCCTCAGATCACTTGGGCGTGACTACAACAGGTAAAAACTATATAAATACTGTTCGTTTTCTCACACAAAACGTTTGTTTTGTGTCTTAGGCCATCAATGTGTATTTACGATTTACATTTACGAGTCATTAAATCATGTTTAATTTGGACTTTGAATGCTCTTTGAGGTGGACCCATGGGTGGACCCCATAGACCTCCATTATATGACTGACAGACAAGAACAGTTTGACCTAAAAATTTCAAAATTGAAAATACTGTGGAAACAAAGACACCTACATCTTCAATGCCCATAAGGTGAGCTAAAACATATCAAAATTTAATTTCAAAGTGAACTAACCCTTTAATGTCTGATGTCGGGTTACACTTGAAGCAAATCACCTACACGGTTATTTAGTTTTCCTATTTAATGACCGACAATTCAGTTGTAATAATTTTGGCATGAGGTTTATTAGCGTTAGGCTATAGCCTGAAAGGTCTGATTTAGCCTGTGCACTGTTACAACAGTAACAACTTTTCAGTAACAATTTTTTTTCTCTTTATTTTTTCCCCCACAATGACATTTGAGTGCATGATTGAGTCATGTATCAAAAAATCTGCTTTTTGGCTTGTTCGCACTGCAGAAACAGAACAATTTTTTGTTCTAGGAACGCCTTTTGGGGGGGGAACTAAATAATCTCCTACTTCAGATGAGGGACTAACCCAGCACAACAGGAACTACCAGTGATGCAAGTGAACGTTGATTGGTGGGTGCCCGTGTTTTGCATTCGTTTGGCCAGTTTATAACCTATATTCACAAACATGGAAAACGGTGATAGATGGACCGACGTCAAAGTCCGAGAGGAAATCCAACAACTTTGAAGGGACTAAGCAAATATGATTATGTATTTCTGCTCAGCTAGCGACATTGGGCATCAACCACACAGCAAACTCTTTAATACTTTTTCATATACTGTTTACTTTAACAGTTCTATCTAATAGCACATAAGATAGGACTGTTAAACAGATCATAAACTAATGTAGATAGAGAGTGTGACTGGTGTGTGCTCAGGCTCAGAGATGTCAAAATAAATGCCTGCCCGCCATCAAAATTAAGGTCCTGCACAACAACTAGAGCGGCCAGACGCAAGACTGTCAGAGTTCCTACTGGGGGAACGAATACAACCAGAACAATTGTTCTAGGGAATATTTAATTATTGTGGGACCATTATTGCTAGTCCCTATAACTACTCTGTAATTTTAAATGGACAAATAGGGTCTTTTACACACAAATTCAGTGTGTGAAATTCAGTGACTAACTAGGAAAATAAATAAATAAATAAAATTATAAAAAAAAATTTCACATACATACTTACATACATTGTATATATATAAACGTATGCATATATATATATATATATATATACTGTATATTATATATACATACATACATTGTATATATATAAACGTATGCATATATATATATATACTGTATATTATATATACATACACACACACACACATATATATATATATATATAACGTGTATGTATTTTTTTTATAAAAGCCCAGATCAAATCAAGCTGACAATGTTCACAAGATATAAAAATAAATAATGCATAAAGTATTTTATGAGATAAATAGACCAAGTCTGCTCTCATTATAACAGATATCCATTTTAGAGAAACAACTAGATGATATTTAGTAAATAACTTCAAACAAATCCACTAATCTGATAATGCATTTTTGGGTAGTTGGCTTCTTGTATCGAAACCCTTTTTCAAAGTGTTAAAGAAAAGACGGTCACTGTCTTAAGTCACAAGTGTGACAACAACCCTGATGTTCAACCTAAAGGAAGTGTGAATTCAGTGAACTACCTAGATTCAACAGTTTCCTTCCATCAGAGATGAGGAGGCATGTGACGGCTTCATCAAGCTTGACCAGTAGTAAGTTAGGAGCAAATGAGGGGAGAGAGAGAGAGCTTAAGAAAGAAAAGGGAGGAGGAACAAGGAAATTGGGGGGTTTAGCGTGAGGCTGCACTCACCCACTCCGGGCCCGGTGACAGAGTTGGCGGGCTTGTTTTGCGCAGAAGCAGCGGCGGCGGCGGCGGCAGCAGCGGCTGCGGCAACGGCAGTGCCGTAGCCGCCCTTACAGAAATCCCCGCTCCCTGCCGAAGCCTGGCCCAAATCCTCATAGCCTGCAAACGGTCAGACACACACAGCCACAGCCCCACAGCATTAGACACACACCAGGCAGGGCCAGAGGGAAGGAGGAGGAAGGGGACGGGGCACAGGGATGCAGCAAGCTGGGGGAGGGGCCTAATCGGAAAAGAGTACTGGTGGTGTTAAGAACATTTAAGAGGGGATATGAAAGTGATGGGCAATTTCCAACCAAAGGAATGGAAATGGAGAAATAAGAAAAGAGAACATTAGGAATGACTAAGATGAAGCTGGAAGATAAATTAAGGAAAAAGTTAATTTCAAGAAAAGACAATATGAAGAACTTGAAGAAAAGTAACGACAAGAAGAATCTAAAGTATGAGACAATATGGATGGTGTTAGATTGAGGGAGAGCATAAGAGCAAAGGAATGGGAGGGTACTACAAAACAGTGCTCAAAAGTGGTGGATGGTCAAAAGCAAGCAGCGTGTGGAAAGCATGTGAACCCATCACCCTAAACCAAGCAACCTCCCTCCCACCTCATTCTCCTTACATCACTGGTTCCACAGAAACCCACCCACTGGCGGCACTTTGAAGTGCTTAAGACTATTTGTGGACTGACTAGTTGTACAGATTCTCAAGTAGATGATTGCTCTTAAACGTTCAAAGACGGCCATGTTATTGAAGCTGCAGATTGATTTCAGTCCACGACACTCCAAGTAGTATGATGCTCAATTGTTAAAACTACCCCACAAGTAGGATCAATGTTTAAAGCTTAGCGACACAAAACTCCATGCAGAACACTTGTGATTGCAAAGGTCATCCGGTTTTGCAAAACCAAACAAGCTGCAGAACTTTGGATTGTACCTTTAATAAGATAAATTGTCCCATGCTTGAACTTCACAGACAAGAAAAGAAAAACTTAACCAATGTAGGGTTTAGAGGTGACTGAGAAAGTTAAGTTAAACATGGCTTAAAACTCAGCCATGAGGAACAAGATGGTATTGAGACCTACTAGTCAGTAGAGTTTTTTCGCAAACTGGTAAAAACGAATTCCCTGCAGATTCTGTTGCAAGAGCATCATTCCATCTGAATGTTTTACTGCATTTTAAATGATGCATGAAAGGAAGAACATTCATTACCAGTGTTATATCCATGTGATCCATAACCACTAGCCTGCTGGAAGGCTGTAGCTGATGCATTGACACCGACATTCACACCGTGCTGTTTGGAGGAGGTAGGAGCCACCTGGGGGGAACATTAAGAAACAGTCACAATTAAACTAAAAAGATAGATCTCTTCTATACCAGTTCAGGGTTCCCCAAATTCGGTCCTGGAGGGCCACTGTCCCTGCAGAGTTTAGCTCCAACCCTGATCAAACACACCTGAGTAAAGTTAATCAAGGACTTCAGGATCACTAGAAACTCACAGGTAGGTGTAGTGTGTTTGTCCCTGCAGAGTTTAGCTCCAACCCTGATCAGTGGCCCTACAAGACCGAGTTTGGGGAACCCTGGTTTAAGCAAACCAAATGATTGGTGAAATTAACTGCATCTTCCAGTGAAAACAACAAATTTCTATTTGGTGATGTATGCAGGATTTATAGTAGTGAAACAAATAAATTTAGAGGTGGCATAAACATTTACAATTCAGTGTAAATGTGTTTATGCCACCAACAATGATATACTCTAATACAAGGGACCGAGATGGATCAGAGCAGGCACAATTTAGTCTGGCTATTATTACACTGAATTTTGAGCAGGCACAGAGCAGCTTTAACTTGGCTGTGTAAAGATGCCTTAAAAGCTTTTACCGGAAACATGGCAGGGCCGTACTGGAAGGTGTTGGGCAGGGCGGGCACACCAGTGTAATAGGGCAGGCTGGTGTAGCTGTATCCTGGTGGAAGGGCTGGGTTGAGGAAGGGCTGTTGGGCAGTGTGGTGTGTTTGTGTCTGGGTCTGCTGAGGCTGGGCCAGCGTGGTGGCAGGGGCAGGAGATGAGGCATCACCACGGCCGAACTTTGACAGGTCGCCAGCTAAGAGAAAGATGTCAGACACAGTGTTTCAGGTAATGGAATCCAGAGGTTGTTAGCCCAATGCACAAACCAAATTTAAAAAAAGGAAAATAAACCTGCATCTTACCAGAATAAGGGTTGCTCGTCAAACCGCCTTCCCTGCCAGTCAGTGCTGTGGTTGGAGTGGCAAATGGGATGCTGTAGTAGTCCTACAGAAGGCAAAAGTAATGACTCAACTTCATTTATCACAAACAAACCCATTTCTGTTCCTTTCATGTCAAATACTTCAGCTAATCAAACAGGAACAAGCCCTCACCAGTGGTATCCTGGTCTGCAACATCTGCAAGTCATCGTAGCCATAAACTTGAGGCTGCAAGACATAAGAGGTTTGTGAGCTAAAACAAGATACCACATACACCTGCAGTAGCAAAAAAAAAGGCCAAAGACTCACTGGGTATGGGTGAAGCAGGCCAGGAGCCATTATGTAAGGGTTGGGCAGCAGTGGCGGCACTCCAGGAGGCAGGTTTGGAGGCGCTTTCCCTGTTGAAGCAGCAGCATACAATTAAGATGCAGAAATGGTTTTATCCAGCTATATCAAGCATTTCACAAATTTACTTTTTACATTATCTCTGAGAGAATGAAAGGGATGTTGAACATGACGAATGCTCATGCATCAATTCATTCCAAGCAAATCACAGTTGTTTTTTTCCCATCTAAACAAAACTGAATTTAAAAAAATAAAAGAAAGAAAGAATTGATAGTCTTTCTGAAGGATCCTTAACACATTATCATAGGAAGACTACTTTTATGCAATGGAATAGGCCTTTAAAATTTGGGTCATACTTGATCCAAAACACTAATAACAGCAATTCTTACCTGAGGCAGCCGTGCTGCGAGACAACGAGACGGATGAAGGTGCCAAAGTGGCCGAGGCAGCAGATGAAGATGCAGCAGCCAAAGGGGGTACCATTGAAGCCACACCGGCAACACTGTTCAATCCCATGGTCAGGTTGCTGACGGGGCCCAGGGCGGACTGCGCTGAGACCGAACTGACAGATGAAGATGGGGCAACAGGGATGCTGTGGGAGATGGGGGCTGCTGAAGTAGCTGAAGAGGGTGGAGGAACTGAAGATTGAGCCACAGATACCGAGGAGAAGGATGAGTGCAAGCTGGAATCAGCATCTACACTTGGGTGCTAAGATGAAGAGATGAAGATCACAGTTAGCAAAAGAGATAATAGATTGAATACAAATACATGAAGTTCTGTTGATTTATTCTTTATAAGCAGTGTTTCCCCAACCCATCTCCCCTAAAATGCTGACAAAATCCAGTCATAAAAAAGGAATTTACTGTATAATGCGGAATTTCATATGGAAATCCGAAAATATGTAATACGTAAATTTGAGGAATAAATAGAAAATGCTTTGTACACTAGGCTTGCCGCGATAGACGGTGTTGACGGTGTTACCGGTTTTAAGCCCCATCACCGGTGACATCACTTTCCCACCGTGACAACGCGATGTCTTGACTTTTTTTTTTAAGTATTCGTTTTTGCTAAAATATTTATTTGAATTAATTAAAAATAATAATTTTCAATTATTTAGTTCTGAAGAGAGCATTATAATTAAAAATGAACTGCGCAACGCGTGCCGTCACGTCACAGATCATCAGCAAGCATCAGGATTCCATTTAGCACGTGTGGAGACGAGAACGAGTCAAATTACAGATAATGACGGAAGATTATGGCGGAAGATTTGGTGTCAAAACGCAATGCAAAAGCGCATGTTTGGCAATATTTTGGCCAATATATATTAATGTTAATAAATGCCAATTTATAGTGTTTTACTTTTTTTTAGAGTGCTGTCATTTATGTAGGCTACGGTCCTTTTTAAAGTTTTTATTTTATATTCGTCTCTTTTTATTTGGTTTTATCTTATTTAAACTTTGTTTAATTTATTTAGGCCTATTTTGTTTTCTTATTCGTTAATTAACGTTTTATTTTTTTTGGGCCCACAGTTTGCCAATTTTCACTTTTTTCAGCCTATGCATGGGGTTATTTTTATTCGTTCGTTATGCTAATAAAAGTCTATAAATAAAAGTTTTATTATCAGCGAGTTGTTTTTTTTGTCCATTCAAGCAATTGACGCTTATTTCGAAAGTGAAAGTATAACGCGCACGCATTTAAAAGCTATTTAACCCCCCCCGCCCTGCCCTCCACGGTGACACCGGGATTACCGGTGTTGTCACACGTCGATTAACCGGTGGGAAATTTTCCTCACCGCGGCAACCCTATTGTACACTTAAATCAAAATCGCGATGTATAATAGTGTGTGTGAACATTAAACCACAAAGACTATTTAAATACGAATCCTGCATGTTCTGTGTGAATGAATGGTGCAGCCGAAACCATAGTATTTGAGCGGAGTGGAGCGGCGACAATATTCAGTACAGTAAAGGTCATTGTGCAGCACGTTATTTGACAAAAAGTTCATTTAATTTCATAATTAAAATTGATAAATGATAACAAAAAATTACTTAATACATTTTTAAAAATGTAGTACAAGTTTAATGATATGCCTAATTAATTGAAATCATGCATTATGACATTAAACATGTTTAATTTACACCACATATCCGTAAAACGGCTGCTCCACAACACTAGCACTTGTGCATTTAGTTGCAAACTCACCAGCAGACTTGAGTTTGAAGTGCGAACTGAAGGTGCCAAACTGTTTTGCTGTGTAGGGTGGGAGCTGATGGGAAACATGCAGTATTATTAGCATCTCTGATCCATACATACTAAATTGAAGTAACAACAAAATGGCATACTTATTGTGTTGAGGGGCCAGTGAGCTAGAAGAGGCATCTTCGTGCCCGAGAGCACTGAGAGGCGTCTGATTGGATGTAGTCAGCAGGGAAGGAGGACCTGATGAGGGGTCAGCCAATGAGGTTATGTTGGAAACTGATGGTGGGACGACTGATTCGGACACCGGTTTCATGGGCACTGCAGAGCCTGCTGCAGCTGGCAGGGATAATAACTATCAGCATCCAAACCAAAGGATGATAATGTTCTAATGTACACAGTTACGCTTTCAGCTGCTTCTAAAGCTCAAGCTCTCTAAGGTGGGATGGATTCTGATTGGCTGTCAATACTTTCTTTATATCATACATCAGCTGGGGGATAATCATTAAAAAAAAGGATTCCATTGATACTGACTCCGTATGGTTACATCAGTGATGTGCACTTTCCTATTGTCAGAGAATTAGAATGACTAACAACTATTTTAAGGTGTTTGTGTTAAGCATATAATGAATATATAATGAAGTATAGAGTAATAACAATTAATTACATGTACTTATAGGGTTAGGGAGTGGTTTTGGTTAGTTCCACGCAATTATGCACAATTTACTGTAATTACATGTAATGTGAAACTAAAAAAATAATCATAAAAGATAACACTTTTTTTTTTTACAGTCAACAATAGGGGTGTGCGCGATAGAACAATAAAATCATTACTGATATTTCCCGGAATTTTGTGGATAAACGATGATCAGGCAATTTTGCAGAGTGTGTTATTGTACTGAACTCCCAAAGCTTTTGTTATTCTTTATATTTTGTGCAATGGTTAGTTCGTAGCAGTGACAATTGATTCTTTCATTTGATCTAAGTTTCTACCATAATGGGAATTTTTATAGTTTTTTTTTTTTTTAAACAATGGAAAAGTAGCGCAATGGAATGGAAAAACGCATTTTCGTGTGAACGGGCACACGTGCATGTAAATATATGTATGCCTATAGATATACTATAGAGACATACATATGCGGGCATGCCTAAAATGGGCATACATGGTGGTCTAACCTTAATTGAAAAGGCTACATCATGCAGTGTATGCACCAAGCATGTTTTTGTAAAGCGAGGGACATACTTGATAATATCAGATCGTTAAAACCACAATAAAAATATTATAGTAGACAAGAAAGTTAACTATAGGTTTGCAATGTATATTTTCTTCCTTGATGTTAATGGCCCTTTACTTTAAAACTATTTGTAAAAGCTTGTCATACCTTCCAGAGATTGTGACGTCTGTATTGAACTGAACCCATTCTGTGGGCAGAAAAAAAAGGGTTTGCTTTGATGAAGCATCATTTTCACATGACTTATGGTGGTACACTGAGACAACTCTCTCACCTTTGCCTGCATGTCTTTCTGTGGTGAGGAGGACACAGAAGGAGGGTAGCGCCGTGTCTGGCTGGCTCTTGGCTCATATAGTTCCATCTGATTAGGGTTGGAGAGGGCTGTTGCTTGCTCACTGTGGACAAACCAGAAAACCAATCAATAATCAGGCTGTGATTGTGTTACTGCATCATTCAAGAGCCTCAGTCGTTAGATATAGTGATGCGAGATACCCACTTGCTAGCACTTGTGTAAAGGCTGTTCTGGCCTTGGTTGCCTGGTGTCGTCGTGACGACAGCTGCCGAGGTATCATACTCAGGAAGCACCGGTTCAGAGCCGAACTGTAATGCTCCAAACTGTAGGTTGAGCCCGGATATATCCGCAGATCCTGGCATCTCCACCGCTTGGGCTGGAATCTGTAAATCACAACATTTGAGTAAAACAAGACTGATGAAGGCTATAAGGTAAATCTGATCAATGCCATTTATTGTGTAAGAAAAAATATTTCTTACACAATATATCGACTACAAAATTTCAAAATCATGACCGTCCTAGCTGAGACCAGAGAGAACTAGTATAATCATGACCTTGGTGGTGATGGAAGCCCTCTTCTTCTGCTGTTTGAGTTTGTGCTGCTGCAGGGGGAGGGGGCTGGACGCCTGCGGGTCGGCTGGGCTGGAAGAGTTCTGCTGACCTGGGGCAGGTCCCGAGGGTTTGGAGACAGGGGTGGTGATGGCCTGGGGCAGTGAAGATGACTGGGTGGACTGAGGGAGCAGAGCTGAGGTGGTAGAAGTGGGCGTGGCTTTGTTCTGCAAGAAGGCATCCATCATGGAGGAGGAAGTGGAGGTGGGTTGGTAGGGCTGCCGTTTGGTGAAGGGGTTGTGCACAGGCTCTGTTTGAGCTTTTATATCTGCCATCACAATGGGGGGAGAAAATAAAGACTTAACAGAGAAGGCTGAACAATCATTGAAGCAATACAAACCATGTTGGCTCTCTTACCGTATTGTCCCAGTGTAGTGGGGCTGGTATCCCAGGTCGAAGGACCAGCATTTGGCGGTCCACTTTGTGAGTGCTGGGCCGCAAGCTGGGCCAAAGCCTGGGCCGTCTTAAACTGCTCCAGGAATTGAGAACCAGTCGTGGAGCCTCCAGTGGTGACTTTTGGATCGCCAACATCACCGAAACCCTTACCAAGCATGCTCACCTGAGGAAAGGACAAAGGGCAATTAAAAAGCATCTAAAGTCCTGGGATACAGTTTATTTAAAAAAAAGGAATTCCAGTTCTGGATGCTGACTGGTCAATACATAAATTATGGGTAGAAAAAAAAATTGCTTTAAAAAAAAAAAAAAAAAAACAGTAAATTGATCCTTAATTAAAAAAAAGGAAAAACAATGACTCGATTGCCGCAAAATGAACATTTTATTACCAGCTGAGACAGGACAGAGCATTTATGATCTGGCTTACCATGCTGTGCTGGCTGTAAGGAACACTGGAGGAGGACTGAGACAGTGATGCTGTCTGCTTTGAGTTGCTAAACACCAGAGACTGCGACAGAGATGGCGGCTGCGGGCCTTCAAGCGAAGCAGGCTCTGCCTCTGTGGAAGATGAGGGAGGCGTCTTCCCCAGCAACACCGCCAAATCAATCCTGAACGTCAAACATGCTTACATCAATAAGGTTATCATAACGCTGTACACATCTGTGACAGCATATCAGTGTGCTTTTGAATGTTGAAATTGCATTTCTTCAAGATGAAATTTACTCTTTCAAATGTGACAAACACATTACTGTTCAAATTTTGGGGTCTGTAATAATTGGACTAGGATGCAAGGATCCATTAATTGATCAAGTGACAGAACAGACATTCATATATTGTAACAGAAGAAAATACATACTGTAATTTTGAACTTTCTATTCAAAGAATCTGAAAAATTTACGGTTTTCACAATAACATTAAGCAGTACAATGGTTAAATGTTTCTTGAGCACCAAATCAGCACTTTAAAATGATTTCCGAAAGATCATGCGATACTGAAGACTGAGCTGTATTTTTAGCAGCATTGGTCCAGTCACAAGAATTAAATATAACTACAATTTAAAAATGAAATATTTTGAAATCTATCACAATATTGCTGTTCTTACTGAATTTTGATCAAATAAATGTAGCCTCTGTGAGAAAAAGAGACTTAAAAAAAACCTACTGTGCCTAAACTTGAACAGCTGTGTAGGCAGATAAATAACCGGTCAAAATTATTTTATATGGTAACTGAAAAGTTCACAGATGCTGTTGATAGATAGATCATTTAAATCCATAACGTTTCCTTAAAAAGCAACCGGCATACCTCTGTCCAGCTGTAATGGTGACATTCTCCTGTGGAATGGGCATGGACGCCACACTGGAGGCAGTGAATATCTTGGTCTCTGACAGCTAGACAGAAGAGAACAAGAATTAAGATTTACTCAGAGATCAACAACCTGCTTTCCATTTTAAGACTGTTGAAATACTCACATCCTCATTCCAGTCCTCCGTGCCCCACTCTTCTGTTGCAGTTCTCCATGCACCTGTTACACAGACACTCCGCTCACTTACAATGACAACAGGGGAACAAATCCTTTACAAAACAGTCTGTACAAGCCAATAAGACTCACCAGGGGTGGAGTCAAACTTGCGAGGATAGTTTGTTCCCTCTCCACCTGTAAACTCGAGCCCTGCGGAAACAGAGTTGTGTCAGAACAGCAACTCTGAACATTCGATTACAAATGCTTTCTTAATGGACTGTGTACTTCAGCCTGAACACATGCCAACACTGACGGGAACTGGATTTGAGGCGTTTACAAAAGACACTTAAGGCATCACTCACGGTTTCCATCCTCAGGTTCCAGGTTGCCTGTGTTACTCCAAGTGCTTCCACTTGTGTAGCTCTCCTCTGTTTGGGCTGGCTCAGTATAGTCCGCTGGGTTGAACGTACTAAAAAACAAAGTCGAAATTTTGTTTTTGAGCCAACATTGAAGTTATTTCTTGCTTCCCTCATTCACTCAGTGCCAAAACAAAGTGGAAAAAAAAATAAAATAAATCACTCCAACAATTCCACTATGACCTTAAAAAAAAAGCCACTCCTTTGTCGTAATGTGCTGATTGCAATTATACCAAAGAAACAAATGGGCTTTCCAATCATTCTCAAACTCTGAAACCAACCCGGTGGAAGCTAAACATATCAAGCTCAAATTCAGATGCATTCTTCAGTAACCAACTAATCGCTAATTAACCCTTTGATCCTACACAAACAAAAACCAACACGCTAATAAATTTATTTAACTCACCTCTCATCTCCTGACAAATCATATCTGGGGCCCTTATCAATCTGGCTTTAGGGAGAAACAACAAGGAGAATTACAAGCATCTCAACACAGGCAGAAAGACGAGGGTGCATGGTGTGAACAGTGTGCTTGTGTGTGTGCACGAGAGAGAGCGCGATGGCAACCGTCATGCTTGCGTCCATTACCGGTCAAACCACCACACCTGCTCTATAGGCGGAAAAGCTTTAGAATGAAACACCTAAGCTAGTGGGGTGTGACTTACAAACTCATACAAGGCTAAACTTGTACTTGGAGGTCCAGAATTGAAAACCAAACATGCAAACTCCAAACGCACACTTCAAACCAAACAAGCGAAAGGCACCAGTTAAGAAGCCTGAAGGAAACTATCAGAGTGACCACAAATGGCCTTGACAGAATCAGAAAATCAGTCCAGGGCATGACATGACGTAGATGGGATATCAGCACTTCTGAACTACTGGATGTTACTGGATATAAATAAAAGGAAAAAAACAAACAAAAAAACTAGATGGTAAAGTTGACATTGAAATTCAGAGATTTTTAAAAAGCATGAAAGACACACTGAACATTCGATAGTTGGTGCCACTTAATATATTACAATGCACATTTTTTGCTTTGAGGGCAGGGCAACACAAACAAATCTGCATCTTCACATATATATCGAAAAATTAAACTACTGAAAAAAAAACTTAATTATTTTAACACTATATTGCAATAAAACTACCACCAACACTAAAAATGTTTGAAATTAATCAACCATGTCTACTCGAACATTTGTGCAATGAGGCTTCTCACACTGGAGCATGAGGGTTTTATTTGGAAAAACTGTGTGATGGTCATTTAGTGACTATAACTGACAAATGCGTCGCTAACGCGGATATATTACCGTTCAAAAGTTTAGGGTCGTAAAAGTTGCATGTTACTAACTGTTCCATAGTTACTTTTTGTAAGTTTAAATACAGGTAGGTAGTAGTACATAAAAGCTATTTGGCTTCCCTCTGGTGCCCTTACTCATGTCCTGATTGGGAAATGTACCATATTATGCTTTTATAGAAATCGTATTTCATTGTTTTTAAAGTGTATAGTAATGTTTGTTAATATTTGGTTTTTAGAAGGATTCCTTTTATCTACCCTCTTTAGTTGTACCACATTTGCTGCAGCATGGTATTTGGTGGAAATGGAAAGGACATCAATCATTGCAACTTATTGCCTTTTCTCTGCTTGTTTCTGGAATTGTAGTGTGGATATCAAATCTGGTTTGGACACTTAACAGTGTTGAACTAATTTACATCTACATTGTCCATAGGTGAAAGAAGAAACCTTGTAGAAGGTGTCATAAGAATCACAACATACATTGAACGCAATATTTCAGGCTCATATCACAACCATTTATTTTGCATTTAGGTCATTTATACATTTACACTGTGATTATGCATTATTGAGTTTATTATTTTGTTTTCATTGGGTTTTTTTTTTTTTTTTTTTACATATTATTGTGCATTTCGTGTTTTTTTTTTTAATTTCCATAATATATCTTTCCTAAGAAAATCAGTTTTCTTGTCTATTGTTTTCTTGACCTCCACCAGTTTAATGGTTGTAAGTAGTTGGCATGTTAGATCCCTCCCGAAAAGACCTTGTTAAATATTATTTTGGAAACTGCAATACATTTTTTCAGGATTCCTTGATGTAAGCTCAAAAAGAATTTAACATGACAAATTTATTTAATTAAATGTATGAATCCTTGCTAAATAAAAGTATTACATTTCTTGATCTTACTGACCCCAAACTTACGGTATTGTAATACTTCACGCCTAAGGTAATTTACTCAATATAATTGGTTTTCACAACATGTTTAAAGGAAGTGATGGTGTATAAAAGAAAATGTGAGGGCTTAGCTAAGCTTCACTTCCACATCATGTACCATTTCTCTTGAATATGACCTTGACCATTTCTATAAATATGATGTGACCGCCATAGAAATTCCATACCCTGAGGTGGCGTTTTGAATAAACGTGATAATTCCAAATTTTCAAAGGTTGACCTTTCTACCACCCACCCTAGTTGCCATTAAACAATTTGATGAACGCTGTAAATCAACAAGTCTAATAGGGCATAGCACCAAAAAGCAGCAAATAAACCCATAATAGCTCTTAAGCCTCATTCAGACCATCAGTCCAAATCTGTTTTTTGTGCGTATCCGATTGAATTACGATCAGATCTAGCAAGTGTGAACGGCGAATAATCACAGGAAATGTGATTTTTACAAGTCCGTTTCGAGGTACATTCACAAATTTCTGGAAATCCGTTTCAGTCTGACTGCTCCGATCGGATTTCGCGTGGTTTACATGACTTGCATTGCAAAGTGCAGGACGAGCAGAAAGTGACAATATATCGGAGACCCGTGGCGACAACAGCTTTAAACTTTTTGCTTCTGCCTCATGAGACAGTTGTCCAGCGCGGCAGCTACACATTGTCGTAAATAAGACAACATCCTCCATATTGCAGTTGTTTTTGGCATATACCTACCAAGGCAATGTCATTGCCATTGAAACCAATGCAGATAGTCCAGAAAACTAAAGAGTGGCATTGGACACAAATTGAATCTGAACAATTGTGATAAACAAAGTGGACATTAAATAATTCTAATCAGATACACATATAATCAGATTTGGACCGACAGTGTGAACGTAGCCTTACTTACCTGGTTAAACTTCTGCATGGAAAACACATTAAAAACTTTGTAAAGGTTTACAGACTATAAATGCACATACAGTCTCAAGATAAGCACACCAGCAGGCCTTAAACCCAGAACAGCACTTGTGCCATAGCTTTAACAGTTTTTGAAGCAAAAGTTGATTAATTTTACTAGCTAGCTGAATACCATCAGCGTTTCCCAGAACTTGTCATTCTGAGGGATCTTTAGAGTACATGCAAAAAGAGGAATGACCTGGATGGAGGCACACAGACTTACCCCATGCCCTGAGCTGAAAACCTCCCTCCTCGTCTTCCAGCTCCACCTGGAGGACAATCAAACCAAAACCCAGTTCATTTGTTAATCACTACTACGGCTGGGCGATATAGCCAAAACCAATTGTCACAATAAATTTCTTATCAGTCAATAACAATTATCACAAAAAAAAACAAAAAAAGTAAAATCAAGACAATTTTCAATGTGAAAGTTGTAGAAACCAGACTGTTAGTTATGGTTTTAAACTACTCTTTATAGTCAAAACATGATAAACGCTTCACGTTTTTTAATTCTTTACTTTTCCAGTAATTGTCCCTTAAAATAAATATCCTAGTAGAAAAAAGTTAGTTCTTCATTTCTGGATGTGCTAATGGTTGATAATAATAATAATAATAATTATTATTATTTATTTATAATTCTAATGGTTGATATTGTTTCAAGTCATGAAACAGGTTTGTGTTGCCTGACTTTGATGACATCTTTTCACAGGGGAAGCTGCAATAGAAATGCACTCTTAGAAATGCACTTTTGACAGTAGCTTAAATTAATGTTCGTTAACAAAATCAGTAACATCTGTAAAAATTGTAACAACCTCATTTTTATATGGTAAAATGTATTAGTTATTAAAATTAGCCATTGGTCTTTCATAGCAGCATATATTTAGATCATAATCAGTTAAAACCACACATTGCACCTCAACACCATGGTAAAACGTAGCTATAATACATTTAGTATGGCGATTGGTCGATTGAAAAGCTTTGACTATTGCTGCACAGTGTTTTTCCTGTTTGTCAGCACGGTTTCATCTGGCTTTAAACTAGTTTAAATGAGACATTTGTGCCTCTCACTGGATCTCATAATGCTGTTTATTGGTAGGGCGACAGACTGTTCAGCGAGTAAATGCTTCTACTATAGTTAGCTTGTGCTGCCATTTGAACTTCGATCTGAGCAGATAAATAGTCCATGTGGTGCAGTTCAAATGAGTGGCTCCGTTTCGTTACATTTTTTTGCATCAAACATTTTACGTACCCATTACGTACAATTGTATCGCCATAATAAACGTTTTAGTTTTATCACCTAGCCCTAATCACAACTAATAGTAGTACTTGCCTCTTCCTCTGCCCCTTCCCCGACGGCCTCGCTCCATTCCTCTGCCAGTAACTCCACCTGCCTTGGCCCCATCTAACCCATTTTCCTGCCCACGGACTAAAAAGAGGGAACAAAGGATGAAATGAGTTGAGGAGAAATATACAAGAGAGAATAAATATGCATACGGTCCCTTTAAGTCTCCATTAGATCTTTTAAAATGCACTCTTAAAATGAAAGTTTAAGCTTTCTAGATGTCTCAACGCTGCTAAATGCATTTAAATCCATCCACAAATCCAAAGGTTTTTTCAAGGTTTACAAGACTCGAGTCAATCAAGTATATGAGCCTTATGTTGCTCTTAAACTCAGACTGAGGCTGAGAGAGAGTATCCGGTAGCAGCTCAAACTTTACTGTGGCACACACTATCCCTTCAGCACTATAGAAAGAGCAGTGATGGGTTTTTGGTGTGCTACTGTCTAGACTCGTAGACAAGACCGCCCTAAACTGAGACCAAGACCGATACATCACTACTGCTGTCTGTCCAAAGACAGAGAAAAGGCTGACTACAGACAAATAAACAACAGTTAATGCTGCATCATTTAACAAAACACCTTGTTTAAAAGGAAAAGTGTCACTAAAAAAAAAAAGAGAAATATGGAGTGTCAACATTTGCGTTCTGTCCACTCACACTCTCGTCCGCGACTGGCTCCACGGCCCCTCCGCGGGGCCCCTCCTCTGCGACGTGCCACATCTCTTTCTCCTCCTCTATCTCGATTCTCCTTTCCTTCATCTCCTCCCTCTGTCTGTGTGCTTTCCTTCTGACCTGAAACTCCTTTTTTCTTCCCAACCATCTCCCAAGAGTCCTGCAAAGCAAAAGGAAAACTTAACATGGGAAATTTAAGAGGAATTGAGAAATGTGACACTTTGAATCCAGTCTAAATCATAATAATACTTTTTGATGGACAGATTAAGTTTTTCATGAAAAGTTGCTAATATGAAAGCCATCATGCAGACTCTGGAGCACACCCCAACCAGAGACAATCGGTAGAAGGTGGTCTGACTTCAGTAGCAATGAAACTGTTGCGCGATTCACGTGAATGTAAAAAATTCTGATTCAGGTGTGTTTTCAGTGATGACGACTTAATTAGTCAAACAATTAGCTGGGATACGAGCAAGGGTGAGTGTGCAGTGTAATCTGAGGGGCAAATGAACGGCCAGCAATCCACCGTCTCCTCAATAGAGTCCCTTTGCAAGCCGCCATCTTGCAACGCACATACAGTAGACGCAAGTGTCATTCACTTAGTCAAGTTTTCTATCATGCTAGTGATGATGACAAGAAGAAAGCAAATGCCCCAGGGTTCGATAGAATCAAGCGAGTGTGAAACCAGACCAACGCTGTAGTAAAAGTGTTAGTTAATCAAATTTAATCAGTAATTGAAATAAAACATATTACATGAAAAACTTAAACAACTTACTGAATGTTTAAGTTGAACGCAATATAGTAATATTTAAACAAATTAAGTACAACAAATTACAAATGTAACCTAAAAATGAAAGGAGAGGTGAAAATAAATAATATAAAGTATATTAAAAAAATATATACATCTAAAAAAAAAATCAAGTATATGAGCCTTATGTTGCTCTTAATCTCAGACTAAGGCTGAGAGAGAGTATCCGGTAGCAGCTCAAACTTTACTGTGGCACACACTATCCCTTCAGCACTATAGAGAGAGCAGTGATGGGTTTTTGGTATGCTGTAATTTATTTATATTAAAGGGATTTTTAATCATTTTTGATATGTTTTAGCTTACCTCAAGCCAGGGTGTCTTTTTCCAGTATTTTCAATTTTGATATTTTTAGGTCAAACCGTTCTTGTCAGTCAGTCATATAATGGAAGTCTATGGGGACCTCCTAAAAGAGCATGCACAGAGAAGTCCAAATTAAACATGATTTAATGACTCGTAAATGTAAGTACACATTGATGGCCTAAGATACGAAACGAGCGGTTTGTGTGAGAAAACGAAAAGCATTTTTATCGTTCTCACACAAACCGCTCGTTTCGTGTCTTAGCCATCAATGTGTACTTGCATTTACGAGTCATTAAATCATGTTTCATTTGGACTTCTCTGTGCATGCTCTTTTAAGAGGTCCTGACAGACAAGAACGGTTTGACCTAAAAATATCAAAATTGAAAATACTGTGGAAACAAAGACACCTACATCATGGATGCCCTTGAGGTAAACTAAAACATATCAAAAATTAATTTCAAAGTGAACTATGCCTTTAACACAGGTTACAAAAAAAAAAAATGCAGAACAATATGTAGGCCATTTCTCTTACAAACACAAACCTTTCCACCTCTAAACTCAAGCGTGAACTCACAGTGTCAGGGCTGCCCTCCAACAGGATGTTGATGGCTCTGTTGACGTCTCCATTGCAGTCATGAAGCGCTATCATGGACTCATCCTGATCCTTTCCTGTGATGTCAACCAGCTGGAAAAAAGAAAGGAGCAATGAGTAGCATGAAAACTCTAGTGATGGGGGAAAAAGATAAAAGCATCACAATATTTAATGAGGGGATATTATATAGATATATGGACGCAGGGTATGAAGGCCTTTTTAAAGCCTGAATTTCGGCTTGGAATTGTGAGTATAGAGCATAATTTTACCCCAAGATCTGCACTTTTTAAATTATTTGAAATCTTTCATTCAGACTAATTTCACAAACAGTGCTAGTAAATCTGTGCTACATCACTCTTTCTTTTAGAAACGTGCAGTGAGTGTAAACAATACACCTTGTAAACATGTTAATTCGACATACAAATACCATCACACTGTATTTGCACTTCCAGACAGTCATTGCACGCTGTGATTACAATCTGGCAGTGTAAATATGCCATTATATAGACAGAGTCCTTTCATTATCCATTAGATGAATATGAAGATGTGAAATAGATGGAGAACTTGAAAAAGTGATGCATCATAAAAAGGGGCCTCTAGCGATTCCCACCCCTAGTAAACTCCACATGGGTGTTCGACTTAGCCCTGAGAGGACCGATGGAAACATTGAGTGAACTATGAAGTGTCTGAGCCTTATGTTGCTCTCCAACTCAGAGTGAGACTGAGAGAGAGTATCCGGTAGCAGCTCAAACTTTACTTTTGCACATATGGTCCCCGTCAGAGCTATAATGAAAGCTGCGAGGGAACTTGTGTGCATGTGTCTGAAAAAGAAACTGCAGGTACAAGTGCAACAGAAATAGCCCAAGGAAAAACAAAGAAGAAGCTACGGTCAAGCCATTTCCGCAAAAAACAAAATATTATATGGCCTTTTTCTGTATTGCAGGGACCATTTGAAACTGGTATGGGGGTAAATACAGAACCTGCCAATATTTTCCTGTGAGACAAACTGCTGATATCCCTACTCACCTGTTTGACCTTCTCCTCAAAGTCTGCATCATTATGGTCCGAGATCATCTGCGCGAGTCGGATCTGCTCAGCAGTGGCCTGAATAAATAAAAAGGGGAAAATAGTTAGTCTGATGGATGGCGTAATGACAATTGGGAAACATTCAGCACTAATTAGAAGTTCAAACACAAAACTGTCAATCATTCATAATTCTCTTTCATCTCAACACTTTAACATCAAAATTATTGTATAATGGTTAGCCTGTATTTTTGCACTGGTTTAAAGATCAAATATGATCTTTTTAAAATTAGCTGGCTTCTTGTATACATTCCAAAATGATCAATTATGAAACTGTTGGCAATATGACATTGTAACAATTAAAGATGTTTGTTTTGCTTCTGTTCTTGGGCAGGGAATTTTTATACTCTGGATATTGATTTGGCAATCTTTTACAATCACATCATAACAGTTAAATTTCATAACAATCCACATGCTTGAAGTGAGCTAGAATACAGCTAGAGAAATAGGTCAGGCCTAGCATTTGCTTGGGCATAGATTTGTGATTTATTCCTAGAGCCCTTAATTTAATTCAGAACATTCTGAGCGATAGACGGCACTGACTCGGAGAATAAGCCTCAGTCTGATGGATGCCACGAATACCCATTTCCCACCAAAATGGTGCTGGTTCTCATTCCAAAGTTTTTCCATTGAAACGGCAAACTACTCAAGAACATAACTGACTACTAGGGATGTGAATTTCTGCCAAAAATGGCATTCGAAAATCGAGGAGCAAAAGTCGATTATCGTTCGAAAATCGGAGAAAAAAAAAAAAAATGCACTCACACAATGACAGAAAGGGAGGCTAATTCCATCTTTAGCGATTTATTAATTGAACAAGTGGCATGTTTTCGTCATTTTTTTAACACAGAAGAATAATTGCAAGAAGAAAAAAACGAAAAGCACAATAAACGATTTTGCATCGACAAACCAGATGCTCGCTAGATCGAAAAATAATATCATGTAATAATGTTTTTATGTGAACCTGCCTTGTAACCGGCAACAGCCTACTTTTTAAACAAATTCGTTTCGATGAAGATAAACTATTCATAGCATAACGCTTATGTCATATTCTTGTTCAGAAAAATTAGCACGTCAACATGTTCTGGAAGGAGACGCGAGCGCAACCTGTTGACGATTAGTCCAGCCGCGGAGAACACCCGCTCGGATGGCACAGATGTCGCAGGCACACTCAAGTAGGTGATTGCGTTGGCCTTCCACCATGTTATGGGATCAGCGTTCATTGGTGGGCATATACTGTATCTTGGCAGTATTGCAAGAGTTCGGTTGTCGCTGTTGCTGTCTGCTCGATGTTATCCTCGCCAAACAAGACCGCAATCGCTGCAGCAGAGAGGGCGTCATTTTGTGGATTTTTAGCCGCCGGTGGTTCAGTAGGCATTTCTCCCGATTCAGTGCATTCACGACAGTGCTCTTCTTCTGTTGTTTGTTTACACTATGTTCAAAATGCTGGTATCCTATTCCTAACAGGAAAATACCTTGCTCTGCGATCTGTGACAGTAGGCGCTGTGTCAATTATGTTAAATACACATTGGAATTATTGCACGAAAATATAACGATATTCGAAAAATCTATTTTATGATCGAATTTCGAACGCATTTCGACTATTCGACCATTCGAAGATCGTGACTCATCCCTACTGACTACATAAGCTGCTCATGAATGTCACATCACAGATTTGGTCTTACTCTTTAGAACATTTTAACATCCAAAAGCTAATAACAATAGTCAACATTTGAAGTGGATCATAAACCTTTCAAAGTTATGGGCTGGCCGATATGTAGTACACACACACACATCATATATAATCATTTGAATTGAGGGTCATTTGAAAAGGGTCATATATATCATATCTATCATTTGATCATAAACCTTTCAAAGTTATGGGCTGGCCGATATATATATATATATATATATATATATATATATATATATACACATATATACATACACTTTCTACGTTTTTTTATTTGCACCACATCTCAAACGCATTAAACACCGCACGTAAATATCTGTCAGTCATCAACAGTCTCTGTCAGAGCATCTGACAGGGCAAGCTACTTAAAACTGGTTAACTATCTTACCAGTTATTTTGACTTTAACATAAGCTTTGGTCATTTTTACGAAAAATTGTACTGTATTTTGACTGCAGGAACACACTGCGTCCTCAGCTATTTTTCAGATGTGCTCGTGTCAAACTACTGTATAGATAAAAAAATGGTATTGCCACATTCCATATTGTTTAAAAATAAAAATAAATACACGGATAAATCGTACAAACTCAATATACCGCCCAGCCCTAAAAGTTATACATGAATTTTGAACAATATCCGTATCCGTACAATATCCTTGTCTCAGGAAATCTTTGATTAACTTTTTTTGATCCACTTTAAATGTTAACTACTTTAGTTTAGTACCTTAAAGACCTCTCAAAAGTTATAAATCAATTCACTCATAAAACATCTGGAAATATTGAGTAATCTGGAAAATAAAAAAAAACAAGAGTTGAGATTAGGCACCCGAATCAACATTTAGTGCTTTACTATGCCTAGTTGTTTTTGCTGCTATTCCTGTGGGGGGTTAAAAGGGCTTTGGAGTGCAAGCATTAGGAACCATAACTGAGGCTACCTCATCACTATGAACCATTTATCACATTTTTAAAATGTACTACACATATGATGCTATACTTTTGTGTTATATTACCTTGGCAGTAAACGACGAACAAAAAAAAATGAATTAACGCTGCTGCGAGAGTGTATCTAATACAACAGCTATGGGTGGGATAGCAAGTTTTAAATTGTTCCCTTTTCTGAATGCTGTAATCTATCGATAATTGTTCTTTTCAAAACTCGTCAAACGCAAACAGATTTTTTCTCTTTTGCTATTGGAGCAAATGAAAATACAAAAATTATATTTGCAGTCGTCTCCCGTTCATCGCTAAAGAAGCTTACCCAACAATGACGACTTCAGCAAACCACAAAAATGTGAAAAGGGTCATTTTATTATCAAAAGAAAGTAATGCGTGTAATCATACCTGGGGCCTCTGCTTGTGCTGTGACTGGCTCTGTGTCTGACCCTGCGTCTGCTCCCAGTTGCCCCGGGCCCGGCTTCCGCCCACTGAAGTCATCATTTACAGTATATACAAATAACAGTATTTACAATGGAATAATGCCTTTAAAAAGAGAAACAGATTGAAGATGTTATTAAATGCCCAAAATTCAAACACCACTCCTAAAAACATCACATGGTCCAAGCAAATCATCTTAACATGAAAAATGGATGCAAACAAACACGATACACCTTGTGTAGCCATTTTGATTAGCCAAAACTGGAAGTAAACAACGTCACATGTCTGAGCTGACGCTCTACCCATAAAACGACGGCACAACTTTACCAAAACACCGACACAAATTCAATTCCGAGAATTTTGCGCAATTATTACACGTGAAAACAAAACGGTATTTACAAGTCAAGCAGCAACAGGTCAACTATGAACGCGCTTCCGGGGCTTAACATCCTCATTTTATCGATATTTTAAAACCACGAGGGGGTTAAAAAAAAGATATTTCGACAAAATAACACCAAAAGCAATCCACCTGTGCAAGTTATGCAATATTACATGTATGGTAATAGCAAAAAGCACAGCAGCTCTGCGCATGAGGAAATGCAGGGCATGTGGTGGCCGAAAGAAACTGCGCACTTTATAAGGCGCACAGAATCAACCAGCGTGACAGAAACACGCGGGACTCGCCGCGGGAAAACAGACGGACGACGTGTGTGAACGGACAATGCTCAAGAAAAACGAACTTAACGGCCTTTAAACAGGACGAGGATAAGTTACATCAGTCACAAAGAGTATGCTAGAGACGTGAAAATCACACAGCCCATGGGTAAAGGTGAAGGCACATTGTCAACAAAGATGTGAAGGATTTCATATCTGTCACAATATACCATATGGTAACGTTACATTAAAAAAACAATACATAACATGGAAATTGCTTAAGGATAGAAGCACTTAAAAGCCATTTGTTTCCATTCAAAGGTGCATAAAATCGCCTTGTGCATTTAAAAAAGTAACGTTAACGTTAGCCAATCAAGCTGTACAATAGGCATCCAACAGGTAAGTTAACCTACATTACCCGTGGTGCTTAGATGGACATCCTGGGAATCCTATATTGACTTACCGGTCAAGGAGTAAACAAATTGTAATCTATTAAACTTAATTAATAATAAAAAAAAATCTTCAGGGATGAAGGGCTATGATTGGTCCAGGCGATGGGCCTTGGAAAAGCAACTCGGAATAAACTCAAACAAGCAAATCCAACGATCCTATATGAACACACATACACACGGTTTTAATTGTCTTAAAGGGTTATTGATGCGTCAAATAATAAATACAAGCTCTGCATAATTGGGTGGCTTCCGCTCTGACCGCGTATCGTATAATAACCTCATGGCCGGTTATCGCAGGGCATCATTATGCTGCCTGCTGCCCAAAAATAAACTTTGCCGGTGGTTAATCAACTATTTAGTTTATCAACGTAAATGTGAGACTGGAAAAATCGTCCGTTACGTTAATCAACACTTTAGTAATATGCGTTTGTTTTAACTGGAAGGCACACGCCCCCCGGGGTGAGGCGCACTCTCGTCAGTTCACATGTGCACTCGACACCGAGGCTTCACCGAGGCCTACAGGCCCCAAATGATAAAAAAAAAAAATTAACAGGCGAGGTACTAACCAAACACCAGGCTGGACGTCAGAAATGTGAAGATAACGCCGACCGAAGGAGGCTTCAATATCGACCTCCTAATCAGGCGGAAACAAAACACGAACTCTTTCGCGTCCCAAATCGATTCCCCAATGCCGACAACAAGGCCGAACCGACTCGCGCAGACAATAAGCGAAAGACTCAAAATTTACCTGTTTCTCTTCCACACTGACACCCGGATCACCGCGTCACGTGGTTTATCACAGCCACTGCGGCTTCACTCGCAGAGCCCAACCACGTGACAACTACGTACGAATGCATATATAACAACTTAAACACAATTATGTAATGTTTAATTTGTTACCCTTTAGTTGATGTTGGTTATCTTATTATTTGTCTTTGACTCTATATCACAAATACATGTAGGCCTATGGGATATAATTACAAACATTTCCTCCCCCCAGTTTTACAGACTATATAGTCCCAACTCTTTTAACCTGAAGCAACTTGTATGTCAATGCCATTGGTATTTTTTTATTTTTTATAAAAGCTACTTAAATGTCTTAATTTAACTAAGGCTATCCTGGTTTAATCTGTGAAACCAGGCCATAATGTGTTTAAAACTTGCTATGCATACTAGGTTACATTTAGATACATGGTTTAGTAACTAATGCTTTTTAAAATGGGATGTCAAACGGTGGCTTACTCTATTAGAATGTGCCCTTAAACTATTTACCCATGCAATTAGGTATTTGTATACATGAAAGTGTTTGTTGTACATCTCTCAATCATCATTGCATTGCATTATTGACCCCCTCAAATAAAACTACAGAGATTTGATCATAAAACTGTGTATTTATAGTGGTTTTACAGGGTTAACGAGGTTTGTTTATATTTAGCTTCATTTTGTATTTCATTTGAAAGACTACATGTTTCAGTGTTACCGTAGTTCACAGTCCCATCAGTAGATGTCGCTAGTGGTCCGCGCTGAATGTTTACGAGCTTCAGAAAAGTAAGTGCACAGACAACTTCAGAATCAGCCAACAGTAATTTCAGCCAACAAAAATATGAATACAATTAGTAATTACTACCAGTGAATGAAAGATTTTTTAAAAATCAATTTCCATTTACAATACAACAATTCTCTTCAAGTAGCCTACTAAACAAAATGGAGTCACTAGACTTTTATAGAAGTAACACTCTTAAACATATAGCAAGCAATCTTAAATACGTTTTATTTATTAGCCCTTAAGATAAATACATGTACCAGCTAAATACAATACCAGATAAATGTGCATAGTACAACAATTCCATCTACAGTAACACAATTTTTCACATTTAATGAGAGATGGATGGAAGAGGAGTCTATCACTGAATTCAGTAACAAAAAAACAAAAAAAAATAGTTCTTCAGAACACAATGCAATTACAGTTCCCAATGGGAAAATAGCAAAAGACTATGCAAGATAGTTAAATTCAGAACTGTATATCAGTATAGTATGTACATGCACAGGTACATAAGTAGCACAGAAATATTTTTTTGTTTTATTATATATGGGATAAAATTTGGCTTCATTAGATTACTCAAATTGGCTGTCAGTAACAATATTCATACAACAGCTGCATTATCAGATTGTAACATGATGAAAAAGACACAGTGGCAGATCATTAGGAAATATGAATTTCACCACTTATAAGATCTTCTACAATTAATATAGTTGCTTGAAGCATGAAAATGTAGTGTAATATCTACAAATCCAATATACAAGTGACTTTACAAGACACGAACAGTCCTATATACAAAGTATCATATTACTTATTTACATAACAAGTAGATTTGTGCTAAACTGAGTGTTGTTGCATACATTTTGGGAGAGAAGGAATGTTTGTGGCTATTTCCATAATGTGTCTCTCACTCACTGTCTCCCTCTCTTCCATCAGTAATCTTCATCTTTTCCCCCTGTTGTTTAAGACTTGATCTCGACCACTTTGATGAATGGCAGCGACCGGTTTCCTGGGCTTGTTGGCGTCAGAGGTTTGCTATAATACAAAATGGTAAATACGTTTTTGAATATATACTCTGTAACAGTCATATTTCATTGAAAGGTTAGGATTTTTTACTGTTGAAGTAAAACTAAATGTGTGTATGGGGGGATTCACATTTTGATTTTTTTTTCTATTACATGTTATGTTATACCCCTCGAAATTCTTATTAGTAAAATATATTTAAGGTGTATTAATTTACACTTTTTTACTGTAATTAATTTACCCAGACATAATTTCCTGTTTCAGGGTGATAATTAAGTAGTTCCAATCAGAAAATTCCCTGGAAGAGACATGTCTATATTGTCTTAATGCATGGCAAGAATGATAGTTTGGGTAGCCAAAGACTTTCCAAGTATGAGTTGAGTCTTTGGGTCAGAAAGCCTAGTAGAAATATCAAACAGCACCACAAGTTGTTTGGAAGGGTTTCAAGAAAAATCCTCTTGACAGCATCTGCTAAAAATCATATAATGGGCCATGATTGGGTCTTCTATCGGGACAATGATTCAAAACAAACATCAAAATGAGCATGAATGTAAGGTTCTGCCATGAACATCCCAATCCCCTGACCTGAACAAAGAAAACTGAAGAGGAGAAGCACCAACTGGGAATTTGATTGATCTGGAGAGATTCTGTATGGATGAATAATGTCAGGTGTTCTCCAAACTCATCAGGCATTATAGAAGAAAACCCAGAGCTGTTATCTTGGCAAATAAGGTTGCCAAAAATTATTAAATAAAAGGGCGCCATTATTCGTGGCCAATGTGTATTACAGAAAACATTTAATAATAAGATTTCCCTAATTGCTTTAAAGTAGATTGAAATCTATGATTGAATCTAATACACACACACACATCTTGTGTGTATTATAAGATACATGTGTACATTATAAGAAAGAAATACCTGTAGACAACCTTGGACCCCATGTCTGAGTTATATGGTTTAGACACTTGACTCCCCGTATAAAACTCCATCCGGTCATGCATCTCTCTATTCTGTAGGTCACATTTGATGTTAGTCACACATTTAAAGGCAGGGAAAAAATGAAGAGGTTCTCTGAAAGAACACAGACACTGACCTCAGCTTCAAGGAAAGACACCCTCTCTTTAAGGTCGGCGATCATTCGGTCTCTTTGCTCCATCACGGTTCGTGAATTTTGCACCTGTTAACATGTACAGTATGGACATATAAATAAACTAATGCAAGCACTAATCATGCTGATATTAAATGTATTTTAGGATGCAATAAATTAATCTGGAGTCATTATCTACAGAGAAGCATAATGCTTTTTTGCATTTATTTCATTGTTCATGGGCGAAGCTTTTATGCGTAACATGAGATGTAAAGTGCACGAGGCTGATCAGCAGGGAAATGACAGCATCTTTTATTTATGACTGAGGTTGAGTTTCACTTCTGATCTGAGCAAACACAACCTGTGTGAAGCACCAAAAAAAATCTTCCTTTTTTCATCTTGTCCTCTCTTCTTCCTTTTTTGAACCTTATTAGCATATTTATTTAAAAGTCAATATGACTACTATTTTTACAGTATATATATATATAGTATACACACACACAGGGTTTCTGAAGGTAAATTTAAGACAAAGAAAATTGAAGGAATAAATTGAAGGGAAAATATGACAATGTGTTATGTTTTAATATAAATGTCTTTAGGCAGAAACAACACTTTAAAGTTTGAAAATACAACTTTCAACATATTTCCATTACTTTTTAATTCGTTTTACAAATTAAAAGCACCTTAAATCGCTTCCAGCCAATAAAATATTGAAATAACTCTTACTATGCTTTGATCATATTGCAAAAAAGTGGTTCTTTCTCAGAATTTTAGTTTTGGTTTCCAGTGCAGTGGTCTAAAGATTATTAAATCAAGATAGATTAACTTGAGAGGCAAATAATTAAGTGTGTTTATGATTAAAACAAGAACAAATCTCTGTCATTCCCTTTGAATTAAGTTGATTTTTCTGAGCCCATTGGCAACTCTGTGTATATTTGATATACAAAAAGAAAGATATTTGTAAAAAATAAAAAATAAAATATTTGTACATAAAAAATATATTTGATCTTGTTTTAATCATATATATATATATTTTTTTTTTTTGCTCAAGTAAATGTATCAAAGATGTTTAGATATTTGTATTGGAAAACAGGACACAGATTTTCTATTTTGCAGTGCATGCACCATTTCATGCCATGAATTTATGAATTTAAGACTTTCTGCTCTGATTAAAGAACTTAAGGCCTTAATTTGTGCAAGGGTGAATTAAGACTTTGAATAAAGAAATCCAGTCCTCCTCCAAAAATGTTCTTTCAATTACATAAATAAAATGGTTTGCAAATGCCATTTAATGATTTGCCTATGTCTGTGATTGGGTGTTTCTCCAAATATCCTACGCGCAGGAATTATTACCTGTTCGATCATGTTTCTGATTTTCCGTTGTTGACTTTTGAGCATGTCATCCAAGCTATGGTTTTTATTTTTCAGAGTTGCCAGCTCCTTTTTCAGTTGTTCAGACCTGCAGTGCAGAAAACCTGTATGTTTCATGTGTACACACTCACAATGACACTTTTAGTAACACATGTGTGTAACTGCATTAGAAACACAGAGGGTGAGTCTACTTTCAAAGCACAAAAATGAGTCACAGCAAGTCGAATTCCATGTGAGAGGTGTGACATTGAAGGATGGTTTCTATGGCAGCACAAGGCAATTATTTAGCCCAATTTATTGCTTACTAAATTGCAGGTGAAACCTATTGAACGTAGCCAAGGTAACAGTTAAACATGAGAACAATGCATTATGAACACCAAAATGAAAGGGATCACCTGTCCTCACTATCCGTTTTCTTCAGTCCTCGCAGTTTCTCGAGTTCAGCCTCACTAGCGGCCAATTTTTCTCGTAGTGTGACATTTTCCAGCTCCAACCCACTCATACGCTTCTGCATCTCTTCCACCTTTTTGCTCTGTTCCTCTGCCTTGGTTTCTGCTTTCTGCATCTGAGAGTTATAATCCTCTAGAAACCCCCGCTGATATTCAATGTTTTCTGCCTAAAGGAGGTTGCAAAAAAAACAAGGTGCTTAGTTTAGGAAAGGCGAACCACATTATATCACAGTTTTATTCATTTTCCTGGCATTGTTTTATTATATTTCTGA